CCTCCGGATGAACTCGAATACTTTCCCCGTCGCCCCTCGCCCCTCACGCCTCCATCGACTACTACCGACCAAGTCTGCCATTCAGCCAGACCCAAACCGTTATTTGTGGCTAGCCCCTTTCGAATGTTGGGGTTACTTGTCACGGCTTGCCTCCTTCAAGACGCGGTCCGCCACCAGCTCGTCATGGCGTCCTCCCTTTACCGACCTGCCCGCGCGTCCCAACTTCCAGCCTCCAGGCGGCCTCACTTCACCTTGCCTACCGTGGCCAGTGTTCCCGGTGTACGGTGTATGGCTCCCGGTGTACGGTGTCCGGTGTACTCGGTCAAATATCTCCCTCACCCCTGCGCGTGGTTCCTGCTGTCAACAAAGGGTGAAAGGGGTAGGTGGCTGGAGAGGCCGGCGATGGCCTTGTCTCACCTTGGCTTGCTCCCTACACACTGGCCAACTAACCCAAAATTTGCCAAATTGTGGCCGCTCTCGGGCCTGGTATTTTTGTCCGGCATCTACAATTTCGCCCACATTCATTGGCTTCTCACCTCACATCCTCGTTTGTTTTTATTGATCTTGCTGATCTCAGAGGGCAACGCAATTGGCGGGCAGTAGGCAGTGCACCACGACCCTGGTCCATTGCGGCCCAAGCAGCTGCTCACCCAAGCATTGGGTGCCAACAGAAATCACTATCAACAAGCTGGATTTCACGGCGAAAGTCCTGACCTCGTGTTCGTCATACCATCCTAGACAAACTATCGGAGGGATTGTCCTAGGATTTCCCTGGGAACATGAGGCTGGTTATCACCAACTCTATCCACACTTACACCTATGAACTGCTGCAATAGACTCCAAGTTCTACAGGCATTGTTCACCGAAACAAATGTCTAGTAGTCCACGGCAGGAGAGGAGCGCTGTAAGGGATCGCAAGGACGTCTGCGACTATGCATCTGTCAGCCTTCGGAGGCGACATGCCCCGATGTGTCCTGCCCTAGCGGCGGGCTCAGCTAATGCAGCTACTGAAGGAAAACTATACCTCGATCCTTTTCAGTCGAGGATTAGCTAGGGCCGGGCAATCGCTGCGAGCAATACAGGCGACAGGCGCCTTGGGAATCGCAACTGCAACGATTTGAACCCCTGGAATGTCCATGTGGTCTTTTGCCCGATGCGCTGCGATGTGTAGGGCAGGGCATGCTATGAGCCTCTGCATCGACTCGGCTTACCCTGCGAAACTGCCGCCGTGGTCTCATCGGCCATTGCCTTCGTACGCATATGCACTACCGTTGTCGTGGCTCGGCCTGGCCTACGGATACAAGCCCTCGGACGACCTGAGTCGCGTCGTGTCGGTCTTGTCTTGCACCAAGCAGCCTCATGTCTCGGCCGATGTCTTTTTCTCTTCTCTTCTTGTCCGTGCTCATCCGTCTCAACTCTCACCCGCTTCACGGACAACTACATCGAATCAATACCTGACTATCTATACGGAGCAAGTACACGTCCGAAGAAAGGGGACCATCCGGGAGTAGGCGGCAGGCAAAGTCAATTCGATATCAGCATTCCTCGCCCGGCCGAGTCCCAACGCAACATCTCACCTCAGAGGCAACCGGCATCAACTTGAATTCTTTCCCGTTCCTCACCGATAGCCACCGGTACCCCGGCATCGCCAGGTCTGACCGAGATCGACTTACACGTCCATTTCATGATTCGTCAGTCGTATCCGTACTTGACTACCCGTATTACTCCATACAGTCAGTTTTACTGTAAGGAAATGAATGCCACTAGTCAAGACTTCGGCGTCCTCGACTCCATCAGTCCGGTTTCTTGACCGCAAATATACAACCACAGTCTCGGTTTGCTCCATCTATCGACGGGCCACTTGTTTGGGGCGAGCCACTGAGATGGGAAAATTGGCCTGTTTTGCATCTCGAGAGGATATCGCCAGGCCATAAGCTTCTGATGCCCTGCTTCTTACACGCCCCTTTTCCCTGCTCCCTGCAGCGCAGGTGCATAGCGAGCGAGATAGCGTCACACAGGCTGCTGTTCCTAGCGTGCCGGGTGGAGTTGATGGAGGTTGCAACATTTCGAACACCCTGCTCCAGCTCCCCTGCTGCAATTGGAGACGGTTCCACACCGGTCCAGCGTCTCCCGTCTCCAGCATTGAACGTCTTCTCCGAGTCCTCGACCTTGTCTCTCATGGAGTCCACCCTTACCCAGCCGTCTGGCTAGATGCCGCGCGCGCGCACGCTCTGGCGCTGGCTTGTGACGACAGGGCTTCGGTGCGTCCTGGATCTCGCTTGCTAGGTTCGCTTCATCCCACGGTTCCCACCACAAGGAGAAAAAAATACCCTTTTTCTAACTATTATTTTGTTCTAGAAGACGGCAAACCTCTTGGGCATTCCCTTCACCTGCACTTCACCGCGGGCCGCAACACTCGGTGAGTGGCTCGAGGCCGGGCCTTGACCGTGACCTTGGCTTGTCTGTTTGTTTTTCTTTCCCCTACCGACCGCACCATGGGAAGACTTGATTGCTTCCCTGCATGTTGTTATTGTTGTCATTGTTGACCCCCGTCGGCTAGTGTCAGTGTCGGGTGTGTGCGAGTGTGCCCTGAGTCCCCGACTCCAAGACTCCCGAGGTGCCATGCGCGCCCATGCGGCAGGTTGCGCCAAATGTTCTATGTGCGTACTGTAATTTGCTTTTTTACCCGGCACCGATGTGAAAATTTTTCATCTCTCACCGAGAATAGATCACGTCTCATTTCACTCCCTGTCTCTCATCATACAAGACCACTCTCCCATCATGCCAGCCCTACTACCATGCCATAGCACCAATTGCGGGAATGGGACGGTCGCTGCGGGGTGACTCATAGGAGTGCTCATCAGGGCAGGCCATACTACACCAAACGAGGTGTGCAGAGTGTGGTGTGCGGTGTGGGAAAAGGAGTGTAGGAGAGAGAAGGAAGAGTGACAGAGAAGCGCGCTACGGAAAGCCTCATGTGGTCGGTCCCAACATTTACGAGTCCCTGCTGCACTGCTGTCCAACAGCCCAAGGCTGCCGGCCTCCTTGCTGCACCTATCAAACTTCCTCGAAGCCCTTCTAAAGGTCACCCAAGTGAGGGCCTTGGTGCTGATTGGGTGTCAATGAACACGTCGCACCGCGAACTTGACAGAATCCCCTCCTCCTCCTCCGGCGCACCAGCCCGTATAGCCAGTCAAGTTGATGGTCGGACGGCCAGGGCCGCTGGGAGGGGACGCTACTGCACTACGAAGGGCCGCATCCGCATCCCTAATCCTGCGGCCGGCAGGGGTCCACCGCATTTTGCATTGTCTTCCCGGCTGCTTCATTCATTCCCGTCATCTTCGACTCTCCGTCTCTCCGGTCACTGGCGTCTCTGGGTGTTGCTCCCCTAACCCAACACCTCCGATGCATTGCAACCATTTGACGACCAGCTTAGAATCGCACACACCCACCCTTTTGATATCGAAACACGCATCAAATACCCACTGGCGATGCCCTCACTGACGTCTATTCGCCTGTATGCCCACCGCCATGCAGTCCGCCCATGTTCATCCATGATCGATGCTGCCGAGCCATCAAATATATACACCACCGCCCTCGTCCACTGCTCCGCCCTTCATACAAAACCCACGCCCTTCTTCGACCAATACCGTTGAGACTGACAGCCACTTTTGACCAAAAATAGGCAAGGACTCTGGCAACCGCCTTGTTATTCTTCTTTTCCTTCCTTGCTATCTTCTTTTCCCGGCACTCCGGGCCCAGACCGCAAAAGTGACAGGCGCAACGCGAAAGCCCCTCCTCACCGACTCTTTGCGTCCATGGCAACCACCCTATCATTACCGCATTCCACCTTACGGACTGGCGGGGCACTTGCATGGCATTGCATGTCGTTGCAGATGCGAAGGAGGCAAGAGGAGGGGTTTCTGCTGCTTCATGCCCTATTTGACTTTTTTTTAGTCGTTTCTGCTTTCTTTCTGTTGCGCAGTGGTTCAAACGAGAGAGAGAAAAAATCCCCGCTGCCCCTGGTTGGGTTGAAGATGCCGCATGCGCCTGATGACCATTGACAGGGTCATGTTAGGGCTCGGTGACGTCGACGACGCGCACAGAAGTATCACTTTTAAGGCTGTACAATTATACGATTGTTCGAGCCAGTATCAGGTGGTCTCCAGTGAGGCCATCGCCATCACGAGACGGTGTGGCGCGTATGGATTTGCTAATTGTGGTGGTATCTCGGACGTATGACAATTGGACAACACATACACATGGTCACTAAGAGGATCAGCTCACCTACACGGAGAGCGATAATAGCACAGGAGCCGAGCTTCCCATCGTTCTAGGGTTCTGCTAAGCCTCTGGCTGATCCTGTGATGGATTCGGACTACGATCCCCTCTCACCCCGGGGCTACGGTACAAGCGACAAGCGAGAAGCGAAGAAATGCGGGATACAACGTCTTGCTGCTCGTCCTTTGTCTTTGCCATGCAACCAAGTGGGAACAAGTATAGTGGAAACTGGAAGAGAGTCGCGCCTGTTTCGACGGTGGATCGCGGGTGCGGAGGAGCGGCACTGGTTCTTGCTCTTCTCAGCTTCTTTCCTTCGCTTCGGTTGGCGGAGTGCATCATCAAGGGCTGATCATGAGCGGTAAGCGGCAAGACCGCGACGGATAAAGTTGTCCGTCGATATCCTAGACTCCTAGTGAAGAGATCCAAGGCCCCTGCTCCAAAGGCCCCCCCCCCTGGCTGTTTGTGTATCAGTAGACCGATAGGAAGGGCGGCCGGCCGGCCGGTCGACCAGCCGCTGTCTGTTCTCACGATACCTCCCCTTGCCAGGCCTTCTCGCCGGGTTCCTCTTTGATCGTCTTCGCATCCACGTTGTTCTGGATTCGTTGAAGATGCTGAAGATTTCCTTGATTTTCCGTGCGTTTGAGCTGCGAGGGCCCGGCTCCGTAGACCTGTGGACAACGCATCGATGGACAGGGTTGCGGCAACGGGCGAGCGAAGCCTCAGCACGCCTCACGCCGCACGCCGCACGCGCTTGCTCCTACGCCTGCGCCTAGGACCATGAAAGAAGGAGGAGGCATATGTAGGAAGTACGGAGTATGCTTCGTGAGGGTAGGGGACGGCAAGCCAACGGATGGTGCCCTGGTCCCGTCTGTCGCCCTGCGCTGCGCTGCGGTCTGCACGCCTTGCCGCAACGTCATGCATGTCTGTCTGGCTTTTATGGTCTTGGCTCTCTCTTCTGCTTCGACAGTTCGACTGACCTTGATGGGCCCCGCTCCATTATCATCCTGGGCGCACGCCGGGCGGTGGCACCTTATTCCAAATGGACTTGCTTGCGTTTGCCGGGCAGTACACTACTGTGTACATAGGCATCAGAGCATGGCCCCTCTTGTTCCAGTCTAAGAGCAGCAGCTTTATGGGCCATATCACCCTATCGAAAGAGGGATGAGGATGCCTACGCAGTAACCTTTCCCTGGACGATGGCTGCGGTGGCAGGACTTGAGCTGGACTGCCCGGACTGTACATAGGACTGGGGCTAAGGTAGGTTGGTACCGAGGGGGTGGAAGGAGGGTTTCTCGGGGGAGTGTGCATGGCCAGGGCTTTTGCAGAGGGTTTTCGCTGAACAAGAGGGGCATTTGCATTTTTGTTCCACTGGTGGCTGTTTATAATTCGTTGTTGGAGGTTTTGGGTTTTGCAATTCTCTTCAATTTTGGGGTGCATTTGATCTTTTTTGTGAGAATTCGCGAATCAGTGTAGCGAATTGCTGTGCATCGGAGGAGGGGTTATTTTGGAGGAGGGGGGTTTTTCGATGTCAGGGCTGGTGATAAGTGTGAGGTGACTGGTCCGATGGGATGGGATCTGGGTTGAGCCAATGAGGGTTGTGGTATATGGGTTTGGGACTTGCGGTCTGGATATCCATCCGTTGTCTTGGAGATGCCATCAACTGATTTCTAGCCCACAAACCAAGGGGGCCCCCGACGGGGAAGACACTATTTCGACACGCCAGAGGAGTATGGCCGAGCCTGAGAGGAATCGAGGTTCACAGACTTCCCTTCCTCGGGAAGACAATGGCTCCGTGGGATTCAAGTCTGAAGCCAGGTGACCTCAGCTCGCACTTGTTCATCGTCCCGACGCAATCACGGGAAAAGCGAGAGCGAGATGGCCGAGGGCCGCATCATCACCGCGAAGCCACTCACAGCAGCAACGTATGTGTAGGTACGCAGTATACGGATACCACAGCCTCGATTTGGCATGTCGTTGAAAGACGCGCGCGTACGAAACAGGTACCACCGGTGCACCACCGATGGCCAGACTAAGAGTACAACGTGCAAAACCCAGGCCCAAACGCCACAGCCGGCCGATGTACCCCAAACACCTGGGTCCGGATAGGTCGAGGATGGTTGGTCAGGCATGTGGTGAGGTAAGCGATCCCTGGAGACATGTGGCTTAGCCTTGGCTTCGTAATCCTTGTCAATGTGGCACAGTTCCTCTCTTTCCCTGAAGTCCCAGGGGACCAGCGGTGATGACGACCAATGAAAAGCTCGGATGGACGGGCATTTCGAGATTCGCCACCGACCGGTGCCCCCGTCGTCCGGATCTCCCGCGTGCGAGGCGGGTCTCCGGGATTTCGGGTCGCGCTGAAGAGAGAGACACGCAAGGGGGCAAGGGGCAAGGGGGCGTAAAGTCTGTCCGGACCTCAACACCCCCTTTGAGGATGTTGTGACTCTTTTTTTCTGTGGTGTTCTATAGAGAATGACAAATGGTGATATCAGGTTGCGATACCCAACGGAATGGAATCATGGTGGTACTTGCGATGGAATGTATCTTTTGGATGATGGGGAAAAGGACACGCCCCCTCTGAGGTAAGTCACTCAAGTACCGGCTTTTGCTCCATGTTTACTGGTGAATCTGGTACCGCGTGGGTTATGACGCAGCGTTTGACAGAAGTGCGCCGAGTGCGTGGTGCGTGGTGCGAGTGTGAGTGTGAGTGTGAGTGTGTGTGGCGGACTCGGGCTGCACTGCGAAAGTTCCAATCCAATCTTGGGCAGCAATATCTGAGAAAAAAACACGCTGCCACCATGCACAATGAGAGAGGCATGCGCGCCTGCGCGCTGCACCACGACCAGGCTGCATGCTGATGCGAGGTAAATCGACAACGCATTTCATTGGAAATTTTTTGCAAGCTGGTGTCGTGATCTGCTTCTTTCTTTCTGCCCTCTTCCTTTCCTTTCCTTCTTTCCTTCTATGAGGTGAGGTTGAGTCCGAGAGTTGAGGTAAGGTACCTGAGGGTTTTCTTTGGGCGGCAGGGGACCGGGGGGGGCTAGACCGATCCATCTGCTGACGAATGTCGCAATCTTTCAAGATTTCCGATTGCGAATTTCGATATTTGGGCGATGGATTGACAGCTGGCATGAGGTAAGGTGAGGTCAGGTAAGGTATAGTGAGTTGTCTGTATTCTTTACCGTGCTTTTTTGATTCTCTATTCTGAGTTTTTCCACCCCTTCGGTTGACATGTATGTGGCCTCGCTGGTGCTACATCTCATCGCCGAAGCATCGCTGACGCGAGGGCGTCTTATCTGCGATTTTTTCTCACCTTTCAACGCCCCCAATCTCCGAGGCGTTGTGTGTGTGGTTGGTACAAGACCGCCGGGTGCACCATTACGACCATCACGCACCCGAAAACTTGGGTGTGTGATTTGTTGGCGCTGAGCGCACACACCTTGTGACTCACACCTGGAATTTTTTCTTCTCCGAGTTGCCCGGTTCAACCACTCTCCCTTTTCTGATTTACTCGCTTTCACTCACGGCGTGTCGGGAAAGGGGAAGAGGCTGTGCAGAGCCCGATGATGAGTGGGATTTGATTGGTTGATATTGTGTTTCGGGAGGTACGGGTGGCTGGGTGTAAGCATGCTCTCGGGACAAGTGATAGGAGATTGAGGCCAACGGGGAATATCGCCACTCTTCTGGGGTCCAGAGATCGGATGCGCTGGTGAGGATGTTGCTTTGGGGGCCAGGCACCGGGTGCGATGACGACGATGATTCCGTTGCCTTGGGATGGTGGATGGTTAACCGGGGAGGGTTGGGGAGTTGATGAGAGCGAATCGTTTTGGTGAAGCTTTCTTCTTCAGGGATGAAGAATGGTCTGGGTGTAGGCAGCAGTTGTGACAATCCGTGAATTGTGATTGAGAGTAGGATTGCTTGTGCTTGTATGGGCGACCAGTCCCGTGCTAGTAGTTCAGATCAAGACGTGTATTGCCGTTATGCTATGGTTGTAGTATAGAAAAGGCTCGTACTTCAAAAGGATGACTCGTATCTTCAGATTTCACATGCCGCAAGTTTGGAGATTTCAGTATTCTTCGAATGATTGTGACGAATGTCAGTCCGCTTTGATTTACATGATTCACGCCTCGTGAAAGAGACTTCGATGACATGCCGCGACACTTGGTAGATGGGTATTGTAGCATGTCCGGCACTCATGATGGAAGATTACACACCCCTCTACATCATCAAGATGTCACATCCGTCGTCTGTCCTATGATGGAACTCCTATTGGAGGATGAAGATCTCTCCATATTGAAGACTCAGGACAGTGTTCACGCACTGGGCGGCCGTGAATCTGCAAGTTGGATATTTGATAGGTCAGGCTTACGAGCTAGACATTCCCAGTCTACCGGGTAGCTGGTGGAACGCAACGCGGATGCCTTGAGCCTCAAACAAATGTTGCTGGATGAGTCGTGATACAGATCACGAGCCTGAGGCAGATGACTCCTCGTTTCTCAAAATGTGCCGTGAGGGAGGCCTCCAGCGTTCTTGCAGGCTGTGGACAAGTACATCTGGAGTCTTCAGCGTGTTCCAAAGTGTAGCATGTGATTTAGTATGAATAACGCCATGATGTCTCATAGAAGATGATGCCTTTCAAATCCAAGATCTCATAGGTTTTGTGAGATGAGTCATAGTGATGCTCGAGTCTAAAAGGCTGTGTCGCTTCGACTACCTCGCATGGGTTTACATCGTGAACGAGACGGCGATGCCTCGATACCTAGGACTTGTGTATCTCAACATCTATCACATGGTTTGCGAAATACCCATATTGCGTTTGCCTGATAGCGAGACTCGTCGACTTGCTGCGTTGGCCAGAGTGAAGAGTCACAGGACATCACCGCACTTACTCGCATATGTCAATGAAGACTCTACGAGTACCACTCATATCGCCACAATGCTACGAGCTGCACCATATCTTGCGGCGGCGTTTTTCTGCCTGCCTGCTCGCCTCCGCCTCTTGGTCGATTCTCTTCTAAACTTTGGATGCTGATGCCCGTCGAGAGCTGATAGGCATACGTACGCGCTGCGAAGCCTTGCTAACTGAATGGAGTCCACTTTCTTTACGGCAAAGGAGACCTCCCACTTCATGGTATGCCATATTGACACGAGCAGGCTCGGGACAGGCCCCACCCGGCGGGCAACCAGTTTGATACCACGATAATCCCGGAGATATAGCCACCTATCGGAGAGGAGGAAAGAAGATTTCCGTCTGGAGCTTTTGACTGCGGTTAAAAATCCGGGGTCTAACTTTCACCGGAAATGCTATTCCCAGAGCTAGAACGATCTTATGGGCCCCCCTAGATGTTTCCCTTCTCCGAGATATTGTCATCCACTTCTAGATGAACTACTGTGTTTGAGATCTTGGGCAGAGATCACAGGTAGGTATGTAGGACATGGAAGGAGACTGAGTGAGCCAAAGTCTTTGAAGGCTCGGAAGACTTATCAGGATCAGCTGACGTGGAACAAAGATCACCCAAGGAAAAAACGATATCTCGTAGTTGCCAGAAGTCATATTCATTGTTGTGCAGAAGAGAAGACCAAAGGCGCTCACGGGGAGAAGCACAGGACAGCTCATACCTCCTTCTCCCTTTCCTTCCCATGTTGTTTCCAGCCTCCGCAAGCCCGCACATGTTCCCTTTTGTGCTGCTCAACCCCAGAAGCATGCCCGAGAGCCACTACTACTCAGAAATGTCAAAAAAAGAGGTACTATTCCAAAGGTAACCCCCAAAACAGCAAAAGGTTGCGTCGAGGGGGAATCGAACCCCCGGCTCCCCGACGCTGCTTGATGGCAACGGAGAATTTTACCACTAAACCATCGACGCCAGTGGAAGCAGATGAGCTGTGATGTCCTGGAAGATGAGAATGTGCATTGAGTAGGGATGTGGTATGGGTGGGTGGATTGTGGTTAGATTCGTGAGGGTTTGGGACCCTGATTTGTGTGGAGCACGCGACGGTGAACAGGGGTTTGGGCCGCTCAAGATGCTCTTGCATGCAAGTCTAACTGCGATGTCTTGCTCGCTTGCTCAGTAATGTCCGAGGTTGCCTTGTTGTCAAAAATGAACGATTAGACCTGAGCCTGTAATTACGTCAAGATTTCCAGGCCGCATCCTGCCTACGTGATCCGTCGGTACTTGTTTCCAATTTTGCCGAAGCATCCAGCCCCGATTCCGCGCCTTGACCCTGATCCACCAATACAGTTTCTTGCAGCGAATAGCCTACGGAGCGCACTATTCCGTAACGAACTAAACAATGACGACTTAAAGTCTCTAATCTTTGCCACGGTATTTGAAGCAGAAGTTCTGTAAGTTATCAAGCTGAAAGAGGACGCCCTGGATATTGGCGCTCCTGGCCGAAGACTGGAGGTAGAGGCACAGGTCTAGAATTTCTCCGGAATAGCCACTAGTTTCGACAAATTGGCGACGCTACCGTTTTCCAAGTGGAAGTGGGCGGAGGAACTGTAGCTGAGCACTAAGTACGTGTAGACGCATGTTGTGGAATGATCTTGTCACCTTGAATAAATATCTAAAGACCTGAAATGAGACTGTACGTCTCGTGTGACTAATACCCATCTGACCCTCTTAGAGGATCATGAACAATGGCAATACATCAATGTCGAGTTTAGGGTTTCTGAGCCATCGGAGAGAATAGCACGTCTGTTTTGGCGTCACTTGATCCCTTGAATCTTACTGTAAAGATTGAGGATTGTATTTGAGTGATTCAGAAAGGAAGAAGACTGAGTATGGAATCTCGGAATTGCGAAGACGATAACATACTCCTGGTATCATGTTGAGGTACTGCAAGCTGTAGCATGCGTCCTCAGCAATGTCTATGGCCTTAATTCTCTTTTTATTAGGCGATCGTCTACAGGGTGCGTGGACTTTTTTCGGAAAGAAGGTACAATTTGAGCACTGAGCAGCAACAGGAAAACGTTACAATGTCCTCTCTTGGGCGTTTCGTGCTAGTGAGAAGCTTGTGAATTATGATTACGGATATAGCCTTTCGTCTTAATACATTGCTTATTAAGATATGAAGTGAAGATAAGCCTATGAAAGGGT